CTTTGAGATCTTATCGGTCTCAAAGACTTTTTCTTCTGGAGATTATTCGGCACCAGCACATTTGGGTTAAGTTCCTTTACTTTGTGTCAAGACCTTTGGCGCCTTTCCGTTCGAGGATCCCCTTCTGGATCAACTTGAGGCTTTATACCTCTTCTATTATATTTTCTGGCCTGGAAGCTTGGGCTTTTGGATCATCCGATCCTCGGTCCTTGGAGGGATCGACTTGGGCGAGTGCCCTACTTTGGCTTTATGCTGGCAAGGCTTTGGGCGCAACGGCGCCGAAGCGGCTGGATGACTTTTTGGCCACCCAACTTTCGCCTAGGAGGCGAAAACACTTTGCCTGATGGCCAAGGCAATCGGCCAGCGGCCAACTTTAGCACGTAACTTTGTGCAGATGCTGGCGGCAGGTCGACAGGTGGAGCAGATGTGGTGGACGGGGACGTTGCATGCCTTGACGCTTCACTTTGCTGACAGGCCACCTCAGACGGCGATTTTGGCAACAGTTTATCCAGGACGTGAGCCCTGGGGTGTATACCCCAGTTGAGCTGACGTGGATGGCACAGACCACTTTCCATTGGCTCTTCTCGAGCTTTTTGGTGCGAGTCCCGACCACTTTGAATCCAGCGATGTATGCCAACGTTTACGAGTATGTGACTTTGCCACTTGCGACTTTGCTGTCTGGGGGAAGCCTCACTCTCAGTGGCTCTGATGCTTTTTGGGGAGATGGTACTCACAACTTTTCTTTTTGTCCTCGAAGCGCAGCACTTTTATTCGCATTTGGACTCTCGATCCAGTTGCGCAACGGAGTTCGGCCCACGGGCCGACTTTGCATATTCGGCTTTCGCCCATCGTTGCACTTTTTCGGCTATTTGACAAGCAACTTTTACGCCTGGAATCGGTGTTACTTGGGAATATTTCATGGCCGTGCCGGCGAATGCCAACTTTAGCCTGGACTTCAGCACGGACACGTCGCGCGGTATTTTGCAAAGAGCCGTTCTGCTTTCGCATCCAGATGAGCCCGGGCACTTTCTGTGCTATGGGTTGAATGCTTTGTAGGACAAGCCAAACGCAGGCTGGTGGAGGCTTTTCCACCTTCCTGTGAATAGGACGTTGTACCAAGCAAAATGCTACATATTCACAGCACTGGGATCTGGTTCCCCGAGCAACTTTGGTACAACATGGCCAGGCCAAGGCTGTGGACATGTGCCACTTTTCGGGACCTGCATGTCCTTGGACGCTTGCAACAATATTTGGAGGGACACTTTTCGCCTTTGATGGTTGGTCACCAATGCGTATACTTTTGGATCGTTGCGTTAAGTGTGCCGATCACTTTCCACGCTGTACTTTGCTGTGCCGTGGTCTACGGCAACACCTTTGGCACCATGCAGCACCAGCTTTGGACAACGAACCACACAATTGTTGTAAAGTTTCTTCAAGGCAACTTTTGGATGCTGTAGATAGGCGGCATCGTTGCGAACTGTTGCGAGGGCAGCAAAACGCCATTTTCTCCGAAGCCCCTGAAGCCGACTTTGTCGTGAGCTGCTACTTCCTCCCACGTGGTATATACTTTGTGTGCGATTAAAGTACAGTACTTTATCTCAAGGAGGCATGTGAAAATGACGCGTTATCTCCATACCCCGACTTTGCCACTGCCGTGGCTCAAGACCACAACGCACCTTGTGCATCCCCTGGAAAGAGGCGCTCTGTGACTTTCAGGGTTACTTTGATCTGAAGCTGAGTGAGCAATGCACGCAGTACTTTAGGTAGTGTTAGTGTGTTATCTGCGTACGTTGTACTTTCGCAGTGTGTGTGCTTGGGGGGGGGGTAGGGGGGAGAGGAGGTCTGAAGAAGCCATGACTCGTCTGATGCACCGTTGGGGTCAGCACGCTTTCGAGAACGGGCTCCGCTCGGCATCTTCGGCACTGGCTCCGGTGAGGGCACCCGACATGCCCAGCCGATCCCTACATCAATTTCAACTGCCCACTACCAATATGCTGTTGGGAGTGCAGACTTGATTCAGTTCAAGATTCACTGGCAAAGGTGTCGCAGAGATGCTCCAAATGCCATGCTGTCACTTGATGCTTTTCCCACATTGCTTAAGAACAGCAGGAGTGGCAACCAAACCAAGCAGTTCGTGCCGAAAAAAGAAATGCAGACTGGCATTCATGACGACTTTCTTGGCTCGCGGTATGTATGCCATGCCCAGGCATGCTCAAAGCTGTCCCGCAGGCAGCTGCTGCCGCAACAGCCATTCGTAGAGATCCGTTTCGGCCTGCCAGGCTCTGGGGCCCGGCAAATGCAAGCCAGAACTGAACTAACCGAACCACTGACACTGACTGGCAACCACTATGTCTGGCCAAGACACATAAGCTGGGATCGTGCTGGCATGCCCGAAGTAATCAGGCCAACCGTGAGGCGCAGGCGCATTGTCATAGAGCGTGACTTTGACGTCTTCCTTCCCACAGATAGCTCCCCGGAACTCTTTTTGCAAAGGACATGTCGCAGCAGAAATTGCCCTGACTGGCCTGACTGGCACCGTTCTGCCATAGAGCTTGAACAAGCTCGGATGTGATGTAGCTCGGCACGATGACGTCATTTCGGCCATGAAAAGCCCAAAGGGGCACTCCTGCTTGGCATTTTGACAGCCGGAAACTCTCCCGAGACTGCCAGCGTGCATAAGCCTTTGAGCTGCTCCGCCGGAGGCGTGCCGGAAGCGGCAACCGGGACCGCAGCCGCAAATCCTGACGTTCATGCTATCGCATGGTGCCGGACCCGACAAGGACTCGTGTGCCGTCCAAGTTGCGGTGGCTCGTTGCGGCAAGCAAAGCTCCGGCGCCACCCATCGAATGTCCGGTGACATATAACCTCGAGAAGGCTCGTCTTTGCGGGAGAAGCTGAGTTTCCCAAGCTTAAACTCGACGACTTCTTCCTCTTTTCCAGAAACCAAGCCTGGCTGGATCCAGATCCAGGTCAGATCTCAGCAAGAAGTCCAAGAACTTTACGACCCGCTCCACGCTCCAGCCCTGCCAAGAAGCCCCACACGCGTTCACGGGTGCCCAGCTGATGCGTGCGAGGATCGGGTGGGTGACACCCGCTGCTTGATTGCTTTCTCACCAGGGGGTTTTCTGCAGGGAAGCGCGAGCCCAACTCAACTCGGCGAGCAAGGCCACAGTCCCGCGACTTCATTACATTTCCCTCACTTTCGGGCTGCTTAGGGGTGGGGGCCCCCGATGCTTCTATCATGGGCCCCATGGGCCGCCCCCTCCACCCCTGGGCCGTCCCGACTCTCTGAGGCACAAGTCATGCAGACTCGGCTGCAGCTTCCCCTCCTACCGCAAAACTCCACTGACAATTTCTGTCTCTTTTTCTATTTCATTTCCTTTCTTCAGTGGGGCTTGTTACAAGACTCGGATCATCAGGCAAACGATAGAAAAAGTCTTTCCCAAGTCCCAGTAAAACGCTCAAGATTACGAAGCTCTACAGCATGTCATGTGCTCAATATTGCTAAAGTCAAACCTGTGAAGCCGGCCTCTGTCGTGTGGGGTGCCACCACCACGAAACCTTGGCTCGGTACGAGTGTGTCAACATCATGCCACTTCTCGGTGAACCACCAGATATCTCGAATAAAGAAACCGTGGTTCAACCCAACCAACATCTTGACATCCGACTTTCGCACCATGGACGTGACAAGACCTTCGGAGCTCTCGCATACGTCAGTTCCACCGGAGGTGTGCCGGTTGCTCCCTGCAGGGAGTGCAGTGCACAATGCAGCACAGTCCCTACCCGTCTCTGAGCAGCCGCCGAGCCTCCGAGATGATCTCACGAAGGCTCCCACGCATCTCACCGGCCCCATGGAGATAGAGCAGAAGCGGGAGATGTCTCCCCGGCCCCTCTTGCGGCCGGAAAACCAAAGCCTTCCATACTTCAACGTCTGGTCTCGAAGGTGCTCTTGTCGGATTGTGCTGGACATCCATGGACATCCTATGCTAGACGGAGCAATTCCTTCGCCTCGTAACTCTCAGGGTCCTTCACTACGCTCGAGACAGAGCTTGCATGGGCGGTCGCGTCTGCGGACACCTCAAGCAGAGAAACGACCAAAGGAGCTCGGACGCTGATGGAAGCTGACTTTTCCGACGCTGAGTTTAGTCAGAGGCGCAGTCGAGTGCACAATACCAGCACGAGCCCGAGCCATGAGTACCAAAGCCGCCAATCCAAGTACCTGCAGCTATACGTAGGTCCCTGGAAGCTTAAGGCGAACTGGGTCTAGTCGAAAAAGGCCAAACAAGCGTTCCACATTGAGGCATCTTGCTAGGCAAAGCTGAGGCATCCAGCGCAGAAGTGCCATGGATAAAACGGCGGATGATCTGAAACTCTATTCTTGCTTGCTGTTATCGAATCTCTATCAGTAGCAATAGGATGCAATTCTATGTGTGGGAACCTTCTCAGTGTCGGTGTAGCTGTGGCCATGCGGCGGGCAGGATTGCACTTTCAGGCTCCATGTGCTGCACCACTCCCTTCGGTCAAAGACGTTGCAGACCAAGAAAACATGTGCACACACTGTAGGGCAGTGTATGGTGTTAGGATCCACAGTAAAGTCCTCCAAGCATCGTTTGCAGAAGCTTGTTAAGAGGTCTTGGCCAGAAGACTTTGCGTCATCACTCGTCCAGGAATTGGTGGAACGTGGAAATGAATGCTGCGAATCAGATTCATCGCTGCTCTCGAGCATGCTGGCTGCTGGGAATCTGCCACCACAACTTGCTGAACTGACACTGCAGAACTGGACACGATTCTGGGCAAATTAATCTCAAACAGATTGCCTTCAAGCTCGCCCCGTCTAGGATTGGCCGGAGATCCCGAACAACGCTCTGAGAACCGGAGCGACTGGATTACAGCGTATCCACTGCCGACCAAGATTTGGAGAGCTCTGTTTCCAATAGTCACGCCACTAACCGGCACGTAACGGGATAGGACAGCTTGCATATACAACCCCCGAGTCTTGCCTCCACCAGTTCAACCAGCGGTAGCTGGCCACGAAGCTCCTTGAGAGGAGCACACATGTCCACAATGAATGCGGTCTTGCAACACGGTGACACATGCCCCTTCCTTCGGCGCAGCGCTCCGCATGACAATCTCAACCATCACTTTCAGACATTCCTGCGACGAGCATTTTCAGAAACAATCGTCGTAACTGACATGAAGTTGACATCCAACCTGCCAATTCCTGTTTCTCAGACAACACGCAGAGCCTCTATGCATGCATGCGATTTGCCCGCATTCCACAACAAACGACGGACAAAGAAAGGAAGCAAGCAGCACGAACATGCCCAATGTGTTCGCACGTCTTCGTCGACAATCGGAGCGTCCTTATTTTCTGGCGCGATGTGGTCAAGTTCGAAAGATCACAAGGCGAATTACGTGGTCTTGGCTTTGGCTTTGATTCTGATCAAAGCTTCAGCTTCATCCGGATTTGATTTTGCTGGAAGCTTGGCTTTCATAAAGACAACAAGGTCTGACGACAATCGTTTCATGGCTATTGTGGCATCTTTGTGCTTGTCGGGAACTTCCTCTTGAAAAGGTTCTTGCCACTTCGTCAAACATCCAACTCTCGGATTCTTTTGAACAGTTGGGTGGTGAAACAACGGCTACCGAGGCAGATCTAGCCCAAACAATTCCTTGGTATCGTCCTTCACTCAAAAGTCGGAAGGAGAATTCGGAAAGCCCTCGGTGGGACAATTCCCATGTTCGGATGTCTTGTATGGGACGGCCAGCCAAGCTTTGCTTGCGGCTCCATTCAGTAGGCTGAACTTCTCGATAAAGTTGATGACCTTGCTTACCTGCTGGCTGACGATCCCAAAACTTTGCGTCAGAGTGAAAAAACAGTGGAAGAGTCGGTTTCGGGCTGGTAGGTGTTGCTGAGGAAGGGAACGACGGAGGTTTCGCTGATTTGGACCAGGACGAATCACCGCCCCTAGACCAGTTTGCAGGTTGTCCGAAGACCACCCTTGTTGCCAATTGTTCGATCCATCATTCCAGTTTTTGCCGTACCAGTCAGACATGGCTTCTCAACTGAAAAGATCGGTGGAACGATGCGTAAGCTGATCTGGCTCCATGTCCTGTTGGGGCCCGACGGACTCAAGGCTGAACATCTGCGAAGCTCTTTTTCCCAGCAAAACGAACGGTTCCTACCTGGCAGTTAATCGATCAGGATCAGAGCTGTGCTGTTTCCGGCACGATAGCATGTCTGGTTAGCCGTCAATGTCATGGAACCGCACAGGGTTCGAACCGATGAGGGGGTTCAATGCAGTAGGCGCTCCTACCGTAGACGGCACCTTGAACGAAAAATCGTCTAGATACACACTCGTGCAATCCTCCTTCTGTCTGACATGGTTTCCAGTTATTTTCTACTTTAAGAGGTAAGGTCTCTAGCCACAATGGCAGTCAGAAACTCAATGCGACCCCATGTTTCTGGCTTAGCCTGGTCGCACTGCACTTCACAAGACAGTGCTTTGATTCCAGGTTTCTGGCTTGGCCTGGTTGCCAGTCTCTTGCAAAAACTCTTGCAGGCACGTCTGGCTGATGAGGCCAGATATCACCATGCGCCGACAGTGTCTTCGTTGGGCAGTGACTGTCAGGCATGCACTGCTCCCCTGCGCATAATGACATGCTACACCTGAAATGTCGAGAAAGGCGAAAATCAGTAGCAGACAGCAAATCTTCTCTTGGTAACAGAGTTCCACACACACAGCATATCACGGCATGTATGGTTTCACCTCCAGTGTAGCAAACCTGCCAGTTTGGTAGCATACGATTTGCAATCGATGCTGCTGCTTCGCTGCTGTGTCAGATGCCTGCTCTGAATCCTGCAGTCCAGTTAGTCACTCAGACGGATCGATTGGCTCGCACTTAAGTGCTGGATTCTTTCGGCACACAAGGCCTTCCCGGGACCGTCGCTTAAGCACGGTCTTCTTGCAGCACTCAGGAGGCCATCACGAGTCGTTCTACCATACACTAAACCTTGCAGCATGCTGTAGTCGGACACGTTCGCATTTCAAAAAAGAACCTGCTACAGGATGCCTATCAAGGCAAGTTGGTTCAACAATTTGTCTCCTGCGGGGGTGGATTGCTGGAACCCCGATGCATGCTGGAAAGCAGCGCAATGAAGGCAGTTGCAGCTTGGCGAGAAAGCGTTGACACGCACAAGCAGTGCACGCGCAGACGGGTTGTCCTCCAGAAAGTTTCCATGATGACGGCCTGGCGAGTTGACTCTGACCAAGCGTCACGACATCTGGGAAATGGTCCCTGCAAAACCAAGCCTGCCCCTTGCTTGATGATGGTTGTTCGAAGACATGCCTCTTGCAATGACAGGTCGCCCTACCTGCCTATGCATGCTTTTTACGCAAGGCCTGCATTGCATTGGACTCCAGAAAAAGTCGATAAATCCGATCTGAGCGGGTGTCTTCCAGCAAATCCTGTGACCGAAGGCTGCCAGCACTGTGAGCGCATGAGGTTCATGCAGAGCTGGGCAACATGGTCCGGGGAAGGGCTGCAGTGACGTTTGCATACAAGTAGCTACAAGCGCCTGTCCTTGGACGCCAGCATCGTGATGACTTTGTACAGGTGTGAGAATTCAAACTCGGGACCTGTCGTGGAGGCAGATCTTGCGAACAAATTGCGCTGTGTGGGTTTGAACTGAACGATCCCGGCTGTCCAGGATGTCCTTAAAGAGCGTTGCATTCTGTAGGACCTGCCGGTGAGCAGGGAAGGTGGCTATAGTCCTTCGTCCCCTCATAAAGCGCAATTTCACTGGTCATGCCATGAAAATAAACATTATAGCGCTCTCTCATCCGCACAGAAGCTTCTCGGATCTGTGTGGCCTGATCTGTGTCCATGGCCGTCAAGCGCTTAACCTTGAACCAATTCACCGGCAGCTTGGCTCACACAAGAATCTGCCCGTCTGCCTGATCTTTGATGGTTTCTTTCTTTTCCTTTACGCCAGGAAGTCGTCGACCGCGATTTGTTCTCCAGGCACCCTTTCGTTCCTGGTTCGGCAGAAGAGACACACAGTGTCAACTCGGCAACTCGGTACAGTAAGTTGAAGCGAATCCTTCACCACCGAGGCGGCGCATGGCTTCCCAGTCAGGTCCTGCGGTCAAAAAGCTCCGAACATCTCTAAAACGATGAAGTCTCTCGTGATTGCAAAGCCGTTGCAGCAAGGCTAATCCACCGCGCCCAAGAAGGGTCAGCACCAGCACAAGCAGCAACCAACCACATGGCAGGAGTTAGCAACTCTAAATGCGAACTTGCTGAGCCCTGACACTACAACTTGCTTCCAGCAGCTTGGAGGTTGCTTTACCACGAGTTGCACCCACAGTATCCTTGGACATGACAAAGGACACCTCATCCTCGAGATTGATGTAGAACTTCTTGGAGCTAGTCCTACAGCGGCAGCATGCGGCAGCACTGGCACCCAGGGTCAGTCTCCGGTCTCCTCAAGTTGATCTCCAAACCTCTCGGGCAGATGCAATCGAACGGAGATCCCATGTCCCCGGGCTTCAGTTCGAGACCCCGGCATTCGGTCGAAGCACTTCCGGGCTCGAGGCAATTGATGCCTTTCAAAGGCGGACTTCGGACTATCGCTGTCTGAAAGGCAGCTATGGATGCCACCTATAACGTCGGCTGCCCGAAAGAAGATGTCTTGACCATCGGCTTCATTGCCAAGTTGTTTGAGGAATCCAAACCCGCCATAGACGTTCACAATCCGGCCCCTTGGCAGGTCAAGAGGGTGAGCAGGAATGCAAAGTCACAGGAGGTGCATCTTTGGGGCCATGGCCACAAGCAGCTTTCCAAATCTTGAGCTGGCTCCTGTTCAGATGGTCACCGAGCCCCAGTTCACCACCATGTCATGAGTCATGGCCCGTGTTCAGATTCGTGTCAGGTGTCAGAGCCAGATTCGCTGAAGGTCGCAGAAGGCAACACCGGGAACGACACCCCTTGTCAGCCAGATTGTATCGATTTCACACACGTAGTGTGTCACATTGACGCACTCTCCGTCCATGTGGACACCTGCATGGTACGTACTCGCCAAGAGAATTACAGACCAGAAACTACTCAACAGCCCGAGAAGAAGACTCAGCAACTGGACTCAACGTCTGTGCAGACCTGAAAGCAAGATGAGATGCATCTGCCTCAAGAATATCCGCCGACCCCGCTTTCGGGGCGGCGCCCGTGATTCCCCCGAAGGTTTCCTCGTGGACACCCACTGCTAAGGCTGCTAGCCCCTGCTTATTCCGCTTAGCGTGCCCGCGCCTCCCCGCACCCACATGCACCACCCCCACGACCCCCACCACCCCCACCGCCCCCACCCCCCACCGCCCCGTCCACCCCCACCACCCCCACCGCCCCCACCGCCCCCACCACTCTCACCGCTCTCACCGCCCCGAGC